GAGGAAGCAATTGGCAACCCCTGATTTATTTGCGGGTTTTAAATCGCTCTGTTGCCGTACAACGCTGAAATATACCAGTGTGTAAAGAAATGCTCAGAACAAACGCAACAGTGGCCCCGAGATGTCGATCACCATCCGTGTGCGGGTGAAAAATTTAACATTTGTCGATAAAACTCCCCCAGCAGAAACCTCTGATTGCCCAATAAGCATCAGAGAAAGCTAAAGATGGTGACTTTACCCGAGGATTGGGCAACATCATCATGTTTAACATTTACCTACGCAGCTAACTTGCCTTGTCGTATTTTGTCTGAGAAAGCTCTCGTTCTCGACGCCCTCACCAGGTCTAATATCTAATCCACCTATAATGACGATCCAAATCGAAATTTGTCCCAGTTTTGCTGGATATTCCAACAGGCTAGTTTTAAGCCGTACCCTTTCAGTGGTTCACGCATAATACCATGCTCAAACGGATCAAGCTTCTGCTCGGACACCATTTTGCTGGATATTCCAACAGGCTAGTTTTAAGCCGTACCCTTTCAGTGGTTCACGCATAATACCATGCTCAAACGGATCAAGCTTCTGCTCGGACACCATCATCACTTTTCTTCAGTGTAAACGGTTATAAGGATTGAAAGATCGCAACCAGCTGCTTTGTAGACAGCTGGTTGCGGAAATTTACGCCGTCTGTAACTATCTCTACGGCAGCCGAGCTGCTTGAAGACATCGCAACTATAAACTACAGGTTGCAGTTGCCAACGTTTGTAGATAAACGTTGGTAGCGACTGCATTCTCGCGTCCCCACGCATCACTCGGAACAGAAAGGCGCTAGTTTCGGTTTGAAGTCGGTACCTTTTCTACAACGTAGATGGCGGCAGCATCAGTCTTCTGCACTTGGTGCATTTGGCGAGTTCGTTTCAGTCAACGTTATTAAAACACTCAGTTGGGAAACTCGCCGTCGAAACCTGGGCCGCTGGCGTCCACCGAGACCGAGCTAAATGCGACAACAGCGCCACTCTTTATCGTTTGTCTGTACTATGGTCACCTTGAGTTTTTTTTAAAGCCTGTTTTTGCGTAAAAACCAACGCAGAAGACACTTTTTGTATGGAATTTATTGGAGTTTAGTACCAAATGATGGGCGCGTGATGTTTTTATCATCTTTAGTTCGCAAGGTTTTGCGGAACAATTAATATTGTTTTTATACAACCATGCCTCAGCGGGCCTTTCAGGTAGCGCGTCCCGACCTAGGTGCATTTTAACTTCGGTAGTTGAACGCGGCGCGTCCGCTGGGGAGACGGGGGTTGCACCCCTGTACACGTGCAGTTCCTCGAGTGGCCGCTGCGGGAGAAATGGGGGCGCTGTGTTCGTCATTAGCTCGGTGCTCGGAGACAGATTGGGGCCATTTTTTTAAAGCTGTCTCTATGGGAGTTTCCCAACTGAGTGTTTTAGTAACGTTGGTTTCAGTCCAGTTTTCCGTGCAACACTCTGTGAGTGCGATGCATTCTGGGAGAGAACTCGAACGGTGCCAGTGCGTGTGAAACGAACTCGCTATGAGTCACTGATCTCAATGACAATTGCTGGATCGCGCTTGCCGCTCCCGCAAGTGAAGCCACCGGACGCAACTCCGCTGGGATACGATTTCCCATTTTGCTAGCCTTTTGCTGCGGTTTTCCAGCGTGCTGTAGACAGGTTTTCTACTCGTTCGTCGTCATTCGCCGAGGAAGTTTCTTGATACTCTTTGTATTGTTGAGACTTGCCGTTGTGAACACGTGGAAAATTTTACGAAAGTGCAGTGTTGTAGGAAAAAGGCGCAACGCGTCGAAAGGAAGGGCTGGCGGCGTGTTCAAAGCTTCCTTGGCACGCCGAAGTGCCGTGTCTCTGTGCCTTCGCGCACTTGGATACCGACCAAGAACCGACGCCGTGTGAATGTGTTTAGGGAGTGCAATGTGCGTAAAGCCGTATCAAAAGGTACAACTTGTCGAAAACGTGTCGCCGGTGTCGTGGCGTGATCAAAGCTTCCTTGGCACGCCAAGTGATGCATCTTGGTGCCTCCGCACGCTTGGATACCGGTCAAGAATTGACGCCGCGCCAAAGTTCTGAACGTGTGTCGCGCGTAGATGCCTTTAGATCATTTATATATATCGGCCACGGAGTTCTGGATCGTCCAGCTGTTCCGGCGAGTTGCTATCAATAAAAGGGGGAGATCTGTACGTGTTCTTATGTACTATATTAACCATGGCTATGTCCCAAATCTACTCTAATAGATTCTGTGGGAGCACGAATAGGGCAACGTTGTGGAGCCAGGGGGGTTTTCGAAAGCAAAAGTACAAGACGGCGAGAATGAAAATCTTTAAAGCGTGGCCGATATGGTCGTGTGCAATCTGTTGACCAATTACAATTAGGCGAGCCGCGCTCAAACGTCAAGTGCAATTAAGTAGGTTGATAATAAGCCAGCACTGATCAGTGATGAGGAGCTGTTGTGCACGGTATTGTGTAAATCGTCTAAGGACGAAAAAAAGACGTACCTTCCCCCCATCTTCCGTCGCTAGTGGACGCTGGATTAAGCTCGTTCCTAAACCGCGAGGGGAAAAGACGCTGATCCAGAGGCACGAACAGCTTCACGCACATTGCACTCGCTAAACACATACACACGGCGTCGGTTCTTGGTTCAAGCATGCGAAGGCACAGAGACACGGCACTTCGGCGTGCCAAGGAAGCTTTGAACACGCCGCCAGCCCTTCCTTTCGACGCGTTGTGCCCTTTTCCTGCGACAATTCACTTTCGTAAAATTTTCCACGTGTTCACAACGGCAAGTCTCAACAATAAACAGAGTCTTCACAAAACTTCTTCGGCGAATGACGACGAACGAGTAGAAAACGTGTCTACAGCACGCTGGAAAACCGCAGCAAAGGCTAGCAAAAACGGCAAATCGTATCCCAAGCGAGTGAAGTCCGGTGGCTTCACTTGCGCTGCAGCGAACAAGCGGGGAAGCGCGATCCAGCAATTGTCATAGAGTGGTTTGAGTGTTTGTGTCAAGTTCTCCGTGCAACACGGCAACACTCTGCGAGTGCGATGCATTCTGGGAGAGAACTCAAATGGCAAGTCACGTGGTACTGAGGGTTCCAGGAGGCTCTGCCAGGAGGCGGCCCGCCCTATGGGAGAACACATGCAGATCGACTCAGCACGGCAGATTAAAAGATAAACGTCAACTTCACCCTTTTCGAAACTAGTTTGCCGTGGAGTTGATAAAGCACTAAACACTTTATCAAAGTTTTCATAATATCAGATGCGTGTGAAAATTTTGAGAAGGCAATTTCCAAGGCAATGGCGTTTGAAGCAGACGATTTTTGTACGCAGCGGAGATGGACTTTCTGGGTTGGCCGGAGCGGGTCACGTGGACGGTGCAACGTCGCCGTGACGTCGCTGCATCGTCTGCTGCATGATGCCGCTCACCGTTGATGCCGCTCAGGCAATTTGCCCTAGCGCAAATTATTTTAAAATGTTACTTTATCATGTCAAAAACTGTTTACGTTCCGTACATCGCCACAATATTGAAGAAACAACGATTTTCTCTCGTTCCCTCATGAGACGCGTCCATCCCAGGCATCGCAGTACACTAGTTGCGTTCGATTTACCTGCACTACGGTGCCTGGAGTGCGTGTTTGGTGCAATTGGTTTGGTGTGTGTTTGGCAAAAGTGGTCCCGAGATGGCGACAAATGAGATCACAGCTCTGGGCTGCTCTGGGCGTCCCTAAAGCCCCTACTTTAGGCGTCCCAACTTCTGGCTGCTGAAACTTCCGTGGACTGGCACAGTAGAGTGTGACCTGCAGCAGAACAGGCATCTGTTGTAGACACCACAGCTGTTGAGACGCCGCCAGGATCGTGACCGGCAACAACTTGACCTCTTTATGACGTCATCAGGCGGCAATCGAAGGACCACTTTTTTGGACGCGGTAAACACACAAGTCGGAGGCGCGTTCCTGGCTCCATACCTGCAACTTCTGCACCGGTGCAGAAAAGCGTAGGACGGTGTACTTCCAGGTAGGAATAAAGTACACTGTCCTACACTCACTGTACCTACACTTTTCTGCATCGGTGTAGGAGGTGCGTCGTTGCCACTGCGCATGCGCCGAACGCTAACCACGACAAAAATAATCCCTGGAGAAGGGGAACAAGAGGGACAAAGGACAAACACAAATCTCCAAACACAGCTAGGTGACTGGTGCGCAACCGAAAAAATCCGCCTTGCATTATAATCATAACCTAAAATTGCAAACTTCACCCTTGTTGGGTGAAGCAAACTGACAAAACCCGTTTGCTCTACTGACGTCTAACCCCTGGTTAGCTCAGTTGGAACTTGGTAGAGCGCTCCACCTGTAATGGAGAGGACCCGGGTTGCCCCAACGTTGGGTTGCCCGGGTTCGATACCCGGACCAGGCGGATTTTTTCGGTCGCGCACCAGTCATCTGTACTCCGTGTCACTAGATGCGTGCAGTACATGGGAAGGCAACGGCAGGCCAGGGGAGAAAGTGCAAGCACTATGTAGGCTGGGGCTGGGGACCGAGGAGAGAAACCTCTTCTCCCCTCTAATGTTCCTAATGCTCTCCCTTTCTCCCTCACCCTCCATTGTTCTCCTCTCCCGCCCGGCCTTCCTAGTGCCAACTAGTGCTCGCCCTTTCTCTATTCACCTGGCGTTGCCTTCGCCTGTACTGCACACAACTAGTGCCACGTCCTTTGTCCATCTTGCTCCCCTTCTCCAGGGATTATTTTCGTCATTCTTGTCCAGCTCGCTTGCACCTTTGCATTGAATTGCATTATAATCGCTAACCACACTTTGTGTACGCAATTTTTCGGAAATTGCGCAAAGAGCCTTTGCGCGCTTTGGGCTCCTCCAAGAAGTTTGCTAAAGCCAAGACGAGCACAGTTAAAAAATAGCGGCTCCCAGGACCATGGCTGCGGCCGCTTTGGCGGCGTCGTGACTCGTCAGCGCGACGTCGGCGGCATCCTCGCGACTGCAATTTTCAGGGCGACATTGCACTCGGTTTGGCAACGATCACCGGCAAGCGGCAACTTGATGTTTGCAGCGCGCAAGCAAATCTCTGCGAAGGTACGATGTGCCAGATGTGCGAAGGTCAGTACACGAGACCTCTCTTGCCGAGGCGGCGGAAGCGGACACGACCCGTCGACCGCTCGCGTCGCAGTCTCTTGTTGAAACAAATGTAAAATGTTACCCCGGACCACGACCGGCTTTATAGGGGGCGACCAGGTCACCCGAGGCTGCCCCAGCGCGCCGTATTTGCTTTTGCTTGTTTTGTACTTTGTAGTTCGCGCAGCCGCCACCGCGCGTTCTGGCGCTGTAACTCGGCCACACTTGGCCACACTCACACTCCTCACGCGGCGACGGCGACGGGACGACGGTAGCCGAATCGCCGACGGTGTCCTCAGTGTGTGTATGTGCCGGCAGCACGACTCTGCACGACTGACAGTGGGTACCTTGAGCATTAGTGGTGTTTGTTTTAAGCTCCAGGTTCCCCCCGCGATCGCGTCTAGGTGCAGTATCATGTGAGAAGTCGTTCTGTCATTGCTCACGCGTAGCAGCTCGCGATGGTGTGCTGCTGCGTTCCGCTCTGCAAGGCGAGCGGGCGCACAACGAGCGGAGGAGTCGCTTTCCACGAGTTTCCCGTGACAGATGTGCGGAACCAGTGGCTAAAGAAGATTTCCCGCCAAGCTGATGGTAAGCTATGGAAACAAGGGTAAACCTTCAACATACTGGCAGTACTTTAAAAAATGGGCACGAGTTTAAAGGCGGCTACTTTGAGGTAACGTTGGCGTCGCACAGATACGCACGGCGTCTTCCCTAACCACGTGGCCTCCCGGCCTCCAGCACGCGCTCGTTGCCTTCTGTTGGGATACGGTTACGCATGCACGCTCGAGGCCTGCAAGATGCTGAAGGTCTTACGGGAGAGGAACCGCAGCGCATCTCATTTGAGCGCCGGACCTCCAGCTCGCGCTCGTTGCCTTCCGTCGTTCTTTTGCTTTCTTGCTTTAGTGTAGAATGGTCATGCTTCCTGCTTTTAAAGGGTTATCTGCTGTGTAGTTACAATAAACATAAATTTCCAGGCCCTGAGAAACAGCCGTGGGTTCCAAACGACCGGAGCGTGGTTTGTAGCCTTCATTTCAAACCGGAGGACTACAGAGAAGGCCTCAAGTTGCGGAGGCTGAAGCCGGATGCTGTGCCATCCATTTTTCCCGGCTACCCAACATACCTCCAACCAGCCCCTAAAAAGGAGCGAAGGCCACTGAAGCGTAAGGCTGCGACACCAGCCTCGGCTGCTGGAAAACCTCCAGTGGATGCCAAGAAAAATAGGCAAGTGCATTGTTTAGCAACCTGGCCTCATTACAGTAACTTTACTCGGACTTATACACACCTGGAATCTGATCATTAATAATGGTCCCTCTCTTATCTGCTCTTTCATTTAAACTAACAAACAATATTCACCACTTATGTTTCAGACTGGATACCTACACGGCTGGCAGAACTCAAGTTCAAGATACAACCAGTATGGGGGTCGCGAAACAGTTGCCAAATGTACCAGTAGCTGGCAGCCCTGAATCTGCTCAAGAAACCGACAGCCCTGAACCTGCTCGAGAAACGGACAGCCGTGAACCTGCTCAAGAACCCGACTGCCGTAAACCTGCTAAAGAGCCGTTGTTGTTCGAGCTCTCACAAGAGCCTTCACTGGAAACCTCACAGGAATCGCCATTGGAACTTCTGCCAGATCCCTCCTCGATCCCTTCAGTACAGCGTGCTTCAGTGCCGGTTCCTCCATTCACCCTGGAATTTGTCTCCAAACCTCCTTCCATGCCACCGAACGTCACCAGGACTCGTGGAATACAGACGCGTCTTTCCCTGCCACTGATGTCAAAGCTTGTGAATCAAGTGAAGACATTGACAAGAAAGTGCCAAAGGCTTCAAAAAAGCAAAGCCAAGTTGCAGGAGGAAGTTTCGGCACTGAGGCAGCAGGCGAAGAAAACAGAGGCACTGATGAAGAAGGCCAAATTCACACTCCTGCAGGTATTTACATGCTCATAGCTAACCTAAGTGCCTAGATTCACCAAGGAATGTTGTGTTTACAAATTTTATGTGCTTCTAGGAGAAAGTAGAAGACAACGATGCGAAGGCTCTTTTCATCCAAGAACAGCTGACCTTCTTGGACCTCTCCAAGGGCCGATGGCGGGAGGAGACCATACGGAATTGTGTGCTTTGGCATGCAAAGTCTCCCTCTGGCTACCGCCTTCTGCGGGAGACTGGCGTGCTTTCACTGCCAAGCCGGTCGACCCTGAAGAGATACATCGGGGCATGCACTGGAGAGGTGGTCACATCTTTAATCAAGCAACGACTCCATGCGGAAGCGAAACAGCATTCTGGACAGGTAAAATATTTCAGCTTGCAGTTAAAAAAGGAAAGCCATATCTTGATTTTCATTTTTTCAGGCACTCTGTGGCTCCTTGGTCATGGATGAAATGTCTGTGAAGCAAGTCACCACCTACCAAAAGCAGTCAGATGCTGTTCATGGTCTAGTGGATCTGGGAGGTGCAGAAGCAGACTTCGGCCTGCAAGACCAGCTTGCGACTCACCTTCTCTGCTTTGTGTTTGTAGGACTCTCCACCCATTACAGGTGCTTATAACTGTTAACTGCATTTATTCATTTATTTCTATGGCTGATGGAATATTGAATTTAAAAAAAATCTTAAAAGTTATTTCGCAAACAAAAAAAAATCTTTTTTCTAGACTTCCGGTTGGGTACTACTTCACCAAGGGTTTGACCGGTGAACAGCTTCAGCTTCTTGGTCTGAAAGTAATGCAGTCCGTAGAGGAAGCAGGATTTGAAGTCAAACGGTTGGTTGGGGACAATCACAGTTCCAACTGCAAGTTCTTCTCGAGCCTGTCGGGGGGCCCCATACAGCCTGTTGTCACGTGAGTACAATCATTCATGGTTATTTGTAGTCATTAAATCCTCCACTGGGAATGGAATTGTGGATGCATTTTGTTAATGTTGTAGAATAAACTGAACTCATTGTCGCCAATACAATTTTCTTTGTAGCCATCCTCTTGATCCAGATCGTCAACTATACTTGTCATTTGACTACTGCCATATCCTGAAGAACATCAGGTCTCAGTTCCTGGAGGTGAGGAGACTGTTCAAAAACAACGGAACGTTCATCCTTCCAGACTTCCTGAGGTAAAATTAAACATTTGCTTACATTAACTATACATATCTAAGGGCCACTAAAATTGTATTCTCTCGCAGGCGTCTGTACAACATCCAGGAAACCCAGGGTGCCTTCAAGCTTGTAAGGTGCCTCACAAGAAAGCACCTTTGGCCAAGCAATTTCGAAAAGATGAACGTCGGCAGGGCTATTGCCATCTTCTCACCCCAGGTAAAATATGCTTAGAAATATGTTTGTTGTATAAATGTGTTGCAAAATAAAAAAATATAATGGTAATGGAGCCACATGTTACATAAACTCTTGTTGCCTGGGTTTTGCCACTGTAAACAGGTAATTAAAAGGCATGAATTGTAACTGAAATGAATTATCATTGTTCTCCTTTAGGTCACATCAGTCCTGAGATTCTTGCAACAGCATGGACATCGTCTCGGAGCTCCCGGCTTTGAGAACTGCCTGCCAACTGTGGAGTTCATGGAGCTAGTCTACAAGTGGTTCGTGCTCCACAACATCAAGAGCACGACATTGCACTGGTCCAGCAGAGACGCCATGAGAATGCCATTCTACGGCACAGATGACAAGAGGTATGCTATAGTTAATAATGTTTACACTCGTCCCAGTACACTAAGTCAAAATGAGACTGTAGGTTTCTGAAGTAATTTATTCTGATACAACACAATAAGATAAGCATGATTTCTTTTTAAAAAATTGTGAAGTTTTTTAGTATCTTCCAGGAGAGAAGTCCGTTCCTTTGTGGGATAGCTATTGGAGAAACCCCAAAACCTCCGCAGTAACACTTTTTAACCAATGGAATTCTGGTGTTTTGTTTTACTTTGCAGACTTTCTTGGCTCGAGACGGAGTGCCTCGATTACTTCGAGACATGGAAGCAAGAAACAACTCATAAGCTACAGTTCCTGTCTCAGGAAACTTATGAGGCGTTAAGAGTAACAACAAAGTCCACTGTTCTGTGTACGCGGCACCTCTTGGACTCAGGGTTTCACTTCGTTTTGACAGCAAAGTTTTCCAGTGACGATGTTGAGTCGCTTTTCTCGACTATCAGGCAGCTGAATGGGTCGAATGACCAAACGGATGCCTATGCAGCCCTGTCGGCCCTTCAGAAAATCCTTGTAACTGGCATTATTCATTCTTCAGCTAGTGGGAATGTTGGAAGTGTAGTGGGCTCTCTGGGGGAGGCAACGAAGCTCCCTCCTCTGCCTTCGAAGCAAGCCACTACTGTTGAGGACCTGGGCAAGCTCGTGCTCCCTTACCTTCCCACGTTGGAGCGCTATCCAGGTATACTTTAGAAACCCAATGGTTATAAGCAGGCATTCCAACATTATGTGCCAAGTTTAGGTACTGTGTGCCTGTAGAGTAAAACTGATGAAAGGTTGATATCAAATTTCTACAAGTTCTATAGACATACTGCTGTCACACTGTTACATCACCATAGAAGTTTGTCAATACTTATTTTCTAAGCTTGTGGCCTTACTTCAATTAAAATAAAGCTTGTGCACCACTCCTTTAAACTCTTGGCGGTTGGTGGGCACTATATGTAAATCAGTACAAGTTATCCTAAGCAAGGAATTTGTTTTTAGAGAATAATACTCTAATAATTTCTGCAGTAAAGGAGGTTCATTTTCATTTTTTGTTTACTAAGACTGATATTCTAGTATGTAAGTATTAGTTGTGATTAGCATGTCACTAACGCCCACATTATTTTACAGGCGCTCCACAGCAGAGCCTGCGATCAAGCACTCTGGCACTGATTGCTGGTTTTCTCGTCAGAGCCATTCAGGACAATATTGACTGTGAGGGTTGCCTCGTGAAGCTGCAAGCTCCCACCTCACGCTCCACTACCACTGCACTTATTGCAGGCATAGACAGAGGAGGGCTTTCATACCCCACTTCGACTTTTGTGGGGTTCATCAGTCACCTCGAAAGTGCTGCCTCCAGCGTGGCTCCCGTTCTTGTAACGGTGCCGCAACCGTTGAAGAAGTTCGTGAATCTAGTGCCTCCTGCCGTTGTAAAAAACCCGCTTTTTGAGTGCTCTAAAGACAAGACTGTGTCCCATAGGATGGCCCTCCTTAACATCATTCTGCGGAAGTTCATGAGGCCATTTTTGTCAAACTTCACCAGCAAGCTCACAGAGACCCAGGCAAAAAGAAAGCGTCTGAACTCCAAGCCAATGTCACGAAAAGTATTGAAAGTCTAAGTAACAGTAACTGTGTGTGAATTGAGACTGCTCAATTAAACGAATGTATTATAGTCAATTACAGGTTAAGAAAAGTTGTCGAGGGAAAGGAAGGCCGGGGAGGGGTAAGCAGACTGAATATTGGAGAGAGGAGGAGGAAACTCTCCAGCGTTTCGTCTGCTTCCTCCTCCCCAGCCATCCTTTCCCTCGAAAACTTTTCTTAACCTGTAACTGACCATAGTGAATTGAGTCTTCAATAAACACTTATGATTTAAGTACTGCCGTTTTATACCTTTAAAAAGAGTGCCAAATATTGCTCACGAGACTCTCCTTAATGTTAATTTGTGCAAGTCATTCTGTCATTTTAATTTATTTATTTAGTATTGTGTGTAGTCATTTCTGTATAGGCAGTTATAAGTGTTTTGTGTGGCCAGTGCGTGACCGCTTTTGGTGTGTCGGCCGTTGATTAGTTATTTCATACATTTTCTCTGTTCTTTTTTTTCACTAATTTTTTCTGCTGAGTGATGTGTGAGCTTGCTTGTCAGGCGGCGTTAGATCGCCTTTTTGCTTCGTTAGCCTAGACGCAAAGTCTGAATAAAGATATTATGTGTTTGTGAAATGCTTGTACTGTGTGCCATCTTCTATAAAAGAATATATACTTGAAATGTTCAATATTGAGAATAGCTTTTCAAGATTACTTCCCTCATGGAATAGTCTAACCCATCTTATATATTAATCAATTTTTAAGAATGTGCGCTCGCAACTGCGAGTGTGTAGGAGCGATGATTTTAGTCTCAAATTGGCATCAAGCAGCAACTTTATGAACCTACAAATATGTTAACTCCGCCCATAATCCACGTAATCGTATTGAGAGCGTTTGAAATGTGCAAAAGAAGAAAGCGCGGAAAATCGGGGGGAGTCCAATTCACCAGAGCCACGGCCGTGAGTACAGCCTCCAGGAGCTTATTTCACAATACAAGCTATCCTGCTCGGGAAAGCTATTGCCTAACGATTCAGTTCCACTTGATGTTCCCTGCAAGATAGGTTTTACTAACATTGTTTGTTTATTTAATAAGATTTTATATGTCTGAGGCAAACCTCGCCTACAGATTCAGTCACACCCTGCAGCATCTCATTACGGCGAACGTGCAGACGCGCTTTTCTGTGGCGGGGCACTGGCGGCCCCTTGCGGGACGCTCTGTCCCTTCAAAGCGGTCACGTGATATTTCTGGGGACGCGCGCTCCCGTAGAGAGAGGCGGAGTGACCTGGTCGCCCCTATAAAGCCGGTCGTGCCCCGGACCAAAAACTTGTTTTCTCTCAAGTTTTCTGGTAGAAACGGAGGTGGTCTCTTTTTTTACATCACCGGTTCGAGCTTTTTCGGCAGAGTACTGCAAATAGCCTCGGACCCTACCCGTGGCGATACGCTGCGGCAGGTCTTGGAAACAAGGTGGAGAGAGCGGTGCGCTTTGGTCTGCTGCCGGCACCCCCGCCACTGGCAGCTTACTTTTCACGCGGTATAGTTCATCGCCGACTACTAACGGCGATAACGTCTTGATACCAGTTAATGCCACCGTGATCAAAAATGCGGTTGGCGACAGTGATAACTACTGTCAAGACCGGTTATAACGAAGTCGGTTATAACGAACTAGCGGCTACAGCGAAGCGATCACGATTTCCCATTCCTGTCTGCACTTCGTTATAACCGAGGTCGGTTATAACGAAATAGCGGATATAGTGAAGTGATTTCCGATTTCCGTTGACTTCGTTATAACCGATCACGAAAGCATTGACGTTTGGATGATTTGTTCTATTTTTCACACACAACCAGTAAAAAAGAGTGATTGAGGAGCGTTGTAATCATTCTCAGATACGGTTGCTTTTTGTGTTTTCATCTCGTTGCCGTGGGCTTTCTTTTTCAAGTTTGCAAAGCTATCAATGATACAATGTATAAAAGCGCCTCACAATGTTCATCGTTATCAGGTGCCGTGCGAGAGCAAAGCCAGCATGGCGGGGGTGCCGTTAGCAGACGAAAGCGCACCGCTCTCGCCACCTTCTTTCCAAAAGTTTCCGCAGCGTATGGCCACAAATAGGGTTCGAGGCTATTTGGCACGCGTTCCGCTGTTTTCTCTCATACTGTTCACGATAGTACGCGTTGGTACGCGATGGTATGCGACGAGTGTGCTGGCATGAGTCTCGCTCAAAAACCTGTTGTGGTCGCTCGTGAGTGTTTTCATTCCAGAACCTCTAGATCCATGATTTAGAAGAAGGTGGGTTACTTAGTGAGCACAAATAGTGGAGCGAAACCAGCGTGACAATGTTTAAAAGACTAAAAAAAAAAAAAAAAAAAGTGCCAACAATTTTTTTGTGCATTTCTTTTTTTTTTTGGGGGGGGGGGGGGGGGGGGGGGGGGGGGGGGGGGTTAAGCGCGCAACATCCGCAGTTTCAAAGCATGTTTGAAAGCCTTCGGCGCCAAAAAAAATAAGAAAACAATTTTGGACACGGCAGCTGCTGCAGGGTTTGCAAGCTGCCAATTTGATCTCACATCTCGGTCTTCCTGCAGTTTACCACAATATCGCGAGAGATAATATCTTTATTCAACCCTGGAGGGTTGTGGCACCACAGAAAGACCATTGGCCCATGCCTGTGGTATCTTACTACTAATGTTTTGCAACAACCGAAAAAAAAAAAAAAAAAAAAAAAAAGGACAATGAAGTTTGCAAAGTTTGCTTTTTTCTTTTTCAAAGACACTAAAAGATAGCCCTCTTCTACTGTTTGCAGGGCCCTGGCCGATGGTGACCTCGGCATAAATAGTGTTAGAAAGCCACGGCGGGGGATAAGGGAACGTTGCTGAGTGGATGGGGAGTGGACAGTTGTCTTTGGTTCATCGCCCATCCCCGTGATCGCAAGTTTCCCAGGTCACAAAATCTAGAACTAGCATTTTACAGCGGAGCTGTTAAGGGCTAGTTTCCCCAGGATCGTGTCCGGTACCAAACAAATGTTGCGACAACACTCTGGTTGCTGCCACCGCTCATAGATGGCAGTAGCTGTCTACTGTTGCATTTGCCGGTTGTGTGCTTTCCGCCGTCGCTCTTAGATCGTGGTAACCTTTCCAGCCTTGGCAACCAGACAACTGGTTGCTGCCGTCGCTTATAGATGGTGGCAACATTTCTTCGGAGGAAGAAGGGGGGGAACGGAAGGAGCGGCGATGTGCAAAGCAGCGCGAATAATTCCGCAACCGCCGCGAGGCCGCTGTTGCCTAAAGTTCCACTGCGTCGAGTGCTTCAGATTCTATTGCGAAAGAAGAGCCGATCGCTCGCCTGGAAAGCCACTGCCAAAAACAGAAGCTACAGCTCCGCTGTTTTTCCTTCTTCACCAAAATGAAAAAGCTAAAAGCTTTTTTTTTTTTTTTATTGTACATTGAAAGTTAGCTTGCTCTATTTCCACCCGATTTGCTTTCGATTTTAGGTGGGCTATCTCTCGGGGTATTACGCTAGTGTCTTTTATTGGCTACGCGTCGCTTCCGCATCGCATGTCAACGCACGCCTCGCTCCAGCTGTGTTGCCCGTAGCACCAATAATATTAGCGTCCTTGCTCGGCTTGGCCATCCTGGATCTTGAGAAAGTAGTGTCATTGCCTTCCCTATCTGCTAGCCAGACACAAACTGCTACTGACATACAACCGACCAAGCCTTGCAAGGTGATTGGCTGATCGATCTCGGTTGCCATGGCAATTGCCATTTAGATCCATTCAAATCTTCGAAGTTGTGCCAAGATCGCTATGGAGCATCATCGTACTGAAAGCGTTCCTCACCAGTAAAAGTGTCTTTAGCACTGTGCATGCAATCCACTTATCGATCATGCTTATCCCCACAGATCTCTTACAATGATATTGTTGTTCTGGCGCATTTCAAAACGGGCACAAAGATGCACGCCGGTTTTTCCGGTGTGTGGCTAGTGAAATTTCGGTACTCAAGAAATTTTAATGCGAGAGCGTTAACTGTCTCATGGAGCAAGCTGACGTCATCAGTCTGAAGTGCGAAAACGGCAGATAGTTTCCATCGGTTCCATTGGCTGCCGCGCGTCGATGGGGCTCCCATTGGCCGCTGCGCTCGTCAGTTTCCACGACCGCTCACCCCATGGTGCTGCGTGTCCATCAGTGCGGAGCGTCCAAGGTCACCAAAGGAGCATACGCGCCGACCGGCGACGAAAAATACGCAGCGGACGAAAAAAGGAGCGGACGAGTGGCTTGCATGCTTTCGCATTCACTACTCATAAGGAATTCTTAGGTGTACCTCAATCTTTTTATAAAGCAACCTGTCGCCGGGATGTTGGATCGGCTCACCATTAATGGAAAGGTTAAGGAGAAACCGCTCATTACATGAACCAAAATGGCAACCATACAGGAAGCTTGGCACTCCTTTCCTAGGATCCGGCGACCTAGCCCTGACCACCATGGCCCAGACTTGCTTACGGGTGAAAACAGCGGAGCATCTCTCAAACACCCGACTTCCAGCATGCGCTCGTTGCCTTTCACTGTGCTTTAACAGTGCGTGCTGAAATCAAGGCTTGCACTGGAGGCGGGACTTAGATCTAGCCAAAGCTCCACCCTGCCTTTGTTATCCTAAAGGTGTGCCTGTATGTTTTGTTTATCTTGTTTACTTTTGCATGTTCCATCCTGGTAGCCTTCCGGGTAAGACAGCATCAAAATATTCATCATTAAGTCTAAAAGCTTGAAAACTTCAGGACGAGTACACTCGGGAGTACGCAGCTCCTTCCAAGAGCCACCGAGCTCTGCCACTCCCTCCCAGGCGAAGTTACGCCGGGGCCATTTGGGGACAGAGAAGATCTGAAGGAATTCTGCAGGAGCGCAGTCCTCTACATCAGAACTGTGATGCGACTATCGTATTTCAACCCGACAGTGTACCACTGTGCGTATGAACACGTGTGCGTGCATGCCTCTTTGGCCATGTGTTCTTTACCCCCCCCCCCCCCCCCCCCCAAAAAAAAAAAAAAGCTTGTTTTCTTTTTTTTCTTTTTTGTAGCAGCGGGTACAGTTGGCTTTCGTAGCATTGACTTTGGCCTTTTCATGGTTGCGTGGGTTTTATCAAATGAATTAAGCATTAATATTAATTCAGATTCACTCAAGCAGAAACCTGTGTTTTGTGGGGAAGGGAGAGAGGAAAGAAGAAATCCAAAAGGAGTCTTCCCATATTTTCACCAAAAATGAACTGAAAAACCCACCTGCCCCCAGCACACCTCTTTCTCCCCAGCCCACGTATCACGAGAGGCCCCACCCAGTCGTCTAGCCGATGACCTTCGCGATGGAACGAGCCGATCGTCAGCCCCAGTCAGTAGACCGGAAGAATCCTCATCATTTGCAGCACCCAGTGTCCGTGATGAGGTTGGTCCCTTTGAAGCTGCATGTGCTGACTGGCCAGCAATCTTTGTATTATCCACAGCATACCTGCCATGCCACGTATTCCAGACCGCACTGGACGCAAAGCACATGGCCTTTGACCACCCTACTTTGAGCAACTAGTTCATTCCCTCGCCTTAAAGAGCACTAGCCCAGTTTCAGCCGATTTGCAATTGCGTGTCCGTGCTGTCAGACTTGTTACTAGTATGTTGCAATCGGCACTCGGCCAAACTTTAAAATGTTGAATAACCGAGCAGGTGATATACTGAGGTCTGCTGGGGTGGGTCACGGCACTGAGCATTGCTAGGGCACTTTCCTGGCACATTTTTACTGTAACTCTGCCTACAGTTGATGTAGCCAGGAGCATGAACCAGACAAGGTTGTAAGGCAGGCAACACAAACTGCAGAGTGAAACTAAACAAGCGTGGACTGCCCAGCAATGTTTACTAGTACATATAATTCAGTCGCAATCAAACACTTCCAAAAACATTCATATTTTAGTGCCTAAAAGCTCCGAACAAGTCATCAGTCAGACACCAAGAGCCACTGCAACCCAATATAATGCCATCACATTTAAGGAATGTATCAAGAAATGTATACTACAGTTCTGCAATTGTACGGCTCATACTTACTTATCTCGCACTCCTTTTAAACTTGGCCCGCAATACTAAAATTAAGCCAGTTTTGAAGCATCGGTTCAAGAACTATATAGTCAAAAGTACATGTTTTTCGCAAAAAGGTGTAGCGCAGTCTGCCAAACAGTGCAGAATGCAGTGGAGATGGCAACCAAAACCTCATCTGGGCACATTGGACTCCCGATTTTATTTGCAATGTTAAATGATGTCGCAATAAAACAGTTAAAGAAACGGTTGATACTACATTGCTTCGCAGAATACCGCATGCTCGTCCTAGTCTTTGTTGGTGCTACACATTCCAAGGAGCAACGTCTCCGTTTCTGGTAAAAGCTTAATCCAAAACAGACCAGATCTTTTGCTTTATTGTCTTACTTCACCCGACGCTTGCATAGGTGTCTTTCTCTAAATTCTAAAAGGAACAAAAATATACTTTTGTTTCTTCGTTACAAATTATTCTCAAAAACATTCTCCAAGTTCTACTGCCAACAGCACCACTTATGGTTCGTTGTGACAATGGTCTCAGATACGCTCGGATGCGAACAAATGTGGTCATTCCTCGTCCTTTCCCTACTGATCTCTGGTTGGATTTCTTGGAAGAGTGCGAGCATCGGCAACTCTTAGGGTTCGTTGGCACACTGCTTTCCCTGGGTCAGGTGGAGGTTGCAGATCTCCTTCAGTATGTTGATGCACCGGAAGACATCCGTGAAGCTGTTGTAGAGGGGCGCCGGAGCCAACCGAACGACGGAGGGCATCCGGAGGTCACACTGGAACAGAAGAGGGGGCTCGTATAACCATGACACACGCTCGCGATCGAGAGTTCCTCTCATAAAGGGGCAGATTGGCAAGAACTTGGCGGCGACAACACACTAAAGCCACTGGATGAGCTACGCTTCGAAGTTTTGTATTCCCCAATCTATGGTTCATTGACCATACCGCATTGCTGTGTAATTTTGAAAATGGCAAAAACTAGGCCCTGATGAGCCAATAAGAGATTGAGAGCAATGTCTGTGACACCCCCCCCCCCCCTACAAAAAAATCTGCCCAAATTGCATTGTCATATGTGACTCTCTCCACCAGTATATTTATTTAGCCTTTATGCAAATGATAGATTTGACCTGGCTTTCACATACAAACCTAGTCAAGCTGAATGTAACAGGTTTCTTGTCTAGATTTCCCTCCAGAAGTTTCTAGAATGATTGATTGAGTTAGTCACCATTATTGCAGACTGCATATCAGAGGCTACAATACAACACTACGTAGAAGGCATAATAATCTGTCTGATCAACCGCCTGCAGAACAATTCTCTACAAGTCCATTGCCTAAAGTAAGAACAGAGTTTTGCAAGCTTGTGAAATACGACTCCTGAAGCTTCCTAGCTGTGCCGCTGTGCATCCAAGGCGCCCAGCCCAGCGACCGGACACGAATCAATACTGACCAGGACCCCCCTGCGCTGGAGCTCTTGGTGCGTGATATGCGGCTGTGCAGCCAGGTGGATGCTGAGTTGGGACCCCCTCTGGCTCGGATCATCGGGGGAGAGGATGTGGAAAGGGCGCGTGGAGTCGCTGATGTCATGGCTGGCTCCCAGCTCTTCCGTCAGCAGGAACTCCAGGTACCCCGTGAGCAGGAACTGCTTCCGCAGTCTGTCGGACTCCTTGATTTCCTTGAACATCTGCGGTCAAGGGTGGGTGCTCGTCGGGGTCAGTTAATGTTCCCGGAGTACCGACACTCCCAAGCCTCCTGTGCCAACTACAGTCTAAGCTCGTAATAACAGACCTTGATTTTGACCAAGCTTTCGGTCTGTTGTAAGAGGTGTATGTTGTATGCAGATATGAAGTTGAGTCAATGGTATGTAGAGGAAAACAAAACAAACATCACAAATCGGTATGTTATATCCAAATGTCTGTTGTAACCAGGTCTGTTGTAATGAGCTGAGACTGTACTTTGCTGTGTCGCACTCCCTGGCTTCAGAGTGGGGCCTTGTGGAAGTGGAAAGTGGTGAGCAGGGCCTGGCAGAGCCTGCTGTTTAGAATGTCAACGGGCCAGCATCCTCTTTTCGCAGACTAGATTACAGGCTGCTTGATACAAAAAGCCGTGGCAAAAACTCGCCTACTGCAGGTTGAAATACACCGGCTGTTCGGAGTTGGTGAATTGTAGCCCAGCATAAAGATGGCTGACTTCAGCCAATCTGAGTGCTCGATCAGTTCAATTTTCCATTTCAAGTGGGTGCTGCGGAATGCAGTACTTCCGGAATATTCAATGAGTCTAGTGGTATATATGCCTGAGAAACCAAGATGCTTCATTTCTTATTTTTTGTAAGCAACAGCTATGCAAGCCGAGGCCCAAGCGGGGGAAGGACAGAAAGAAAATTGTCATATATAAAAATGGCATAAACACTACGAAAGCTTGTTTAGACAGAGTCATCGCACAATTGTTGTGCATCAGATATAGAATGACTAAAGTTAGCACTAAAGCAGAGATGTAGATCCTTCCCAGTTGGAGGGCCGGATTCTGAGTCTTGCAATTATGGGAACCATTAATTAAAACAATGGCTTTGTAAATTATGAATATGGAGTTTGCAATCTTTATATGGGCACATAAAGATTGCACTATTTCTTGTATAATAAGTGAGTTAACGTCTTGCGTTATGGAGCAAAGATTTCCGTTACTTCCCATCCAGGATGGCTATGTTCGACAATTGTTTCATTTCTCCTAAAAGGAAACGAAAGTGACAGAAGCGACGATATCGCGTCTGATTGGTAAGAGGCTCAAATGATGCCTTTCTTGGTCTTTCGACATTTGAGCCTCTAGTCAATCAGGTGTGACATCGTCAGTTCCATCACCTCAGTTTCTTTTTAGGCTCCATTGGCTTTCATCCTAACTCGACAGGCATTTCTTTGACATAAAGAAGTTTGAGAACCTCTGCTGTAGAGCGTGTGAACAAGCCGTCATCTGGAATCCGCCTAATGAGCTGTGCAAATGAGGCCCAGCAAATGTCACGTTTTTAAAGCGTTATACGAGTGCAATCCGCAGCTGATGACGCAATGCAAATGTCTGTGCCTTACCTCCAGTGTCGCCATGATTGGACCCACTAGGAGTGGCGAGGAGTTGGACAGCTTGAACACATCGGCCGACGGACACGGGTCGAATTCTGCAAAGCAACGCACCACGTACATACAAGGCGAGTTTGTAGACCCTTTTCATAAGTATGCAAACTTGACAAAGTGTTGCTCATTACATATAACCTCTTTTAAAACCAAAACGCGAAAAAAAAAAAAAAAAAAAAAAAAAAAAAAAAAAAAAAATCTGCTTTACAACTATGTTAGAAATACCATAAAATTGCAAGCATGCACAGATGTCCATAATGAGCACCAACCATCTACTTATGAAACATTTGAAATATACAAGCAAAGGACATATTAAGCGCCCACCGAGTTACCCGAGGTGCCCCTTCGCGTTTGCTGCTTCTCCCGAAAGCCAGTGCTAAGTAATGAACCTTTAAGTGCCTGCACCGATGCGAAGTGGTGAAGCTTAGTGCAAGAGTGCCAGTGCGAAGCAGGCTTGAGAAAAGGGGTGCGGCTGCTTTAAAAATAAGGGGTTCCACCAGACCCCTGTGCTGCTCGTCAACCTTTCTGTCGTAATCAAAGAATAAGGGCTTACCCTATTGTCCTTTCTACTTTTCTGCTCTCGGTCCTAAGAAATGACCATTCGCATTCTTCCGTGATTGTCTCCAACTTTTGAACGGGCACTTGCTCAGTATGTTACAGTGTGCCAATTTAACAAGGTGTTGTCATATTATGGTGCCCGTTTGAAGACTAAAACTAAAAAATAAAAATTTTGTTGAGAGGTTCAAAACAGATGCGTAGTGATCACTTGTGAACGTGAAAGTGAGTATGAGCCTCGACATGCAAAACATAAAACATGAGATAACTATACTGCTAGGACCCATTCCTGTATTTTTGCTAAATTTGTTTTATAAATGGTGCCATAGTTTCGTGGATAGATTGATTTATGTGCGGGACCCTCGGAGTTGCCCCATTCGAAAAGGCTGCCGTGATTGTGGGGCTGGTGATGTCGCCTGCCATGCGTGGCTACCCTTGCACGCACTCACAGACCTGGCTCTCTCGGTGTCTCAAGCTTCAGCTTCCTCATTTACCTTCCACGTTTCAAGCATGCAGTTTGTGATGATTACGTCTACAGCATCACTCGTTTCGTCAAAGTCTTCGACGCTGATCGCAGCAGCGACGAGACTGATTGCTATTAAAAGATAGTGGAAGCTGGTCATTTTCACTGTGACCCTCTGGCGACCAGCTCCGGCGACGACGACTCGGGGACAAACTCGCCATCGTCTGTGGCAATCTCGCAGGTACATGCAGGGTGGAAGGTCAAAGGGCCGGAGGCGAGAGCAAGAATAGCGTTAAAGTAACCGAGTTACGCGAGTAATGTTGATTGTACCGTGGCGAGACAAGCTTGGGCGATCAGGGGGGCGCCTAGAATGAGAGAGCATTCAAGATTGCGTGTATGTAGGGGCAAAATGGCATGCTTAACTTGGCCGGTGTTGCCTGGTCGCCAGGTGAAACTGATCAAGATTCGTAACTTGATTATATAAATTACTAGAGCTCTAAAAATCGCGAAACTTAAGGGTATATACTAAGTAGCCTATGAACATTCCATTTCAAGAATAATCTGCCCGTTTAATTTTCGTCTCCTAACCCCTTTAAAGGGATACTGAATCGAAATTAGGATTTCGCAAGATAAGGCTGCAGAACTGTTGAACGGAACGTTACGAACTCCAAAACAACACACTGAGATCTCAGACGGATGGCGGTACTTTTGAGAAAAAAAGGGCGCAATCAAGCAAGGGCTATGTAGTCTCGATCCTCCTGGAACAGTTGGGAATGAAGGGAAGCGGCCCCGCTTCTCTCCTCCTCGCTTCAGTTCACCGGCTCGACCACAGGAAGGAAGGAGGAGAGGCAATGAGAATCGTCACGTGACTCGTCTTGTCGGCCATGTTCATTCGCACACTTCTTTTCCAGAACTATGGCGATCCGTTAGAGATATCGCTGTGTGAATAATGTTTTCGGGTTTTGCAGTATCCCGCCTATCAGTCCAGCCTTGTTTTGTGAGCTCGAAGTTTGGGTTCAGTATACTTTTAAGCAGGTACGTAACCAGGGGGGGCGCCTACGGGGCTTCAGCCCCCTCCCCCCCCCCCCCAAAATCCAGCTGACCCTATGATATACACATGCATTTCGACCCCCCCCCCCCCCCCTTTCCGCACCCCAGATCGTAAACATCCTAGCCACCAGCCCCTTAAAAAAAAAATTCTTGGCTACGCCACTGCCTTTAAAGGGATGCTGAACCGAAATCTGGATTCCACAAAACGCGCGGCAAAAGCGTGCAACGGGATGCTACAAACACCAAAACATCACTCGTACAGCGATATCTCAAACCGATGACCGTATTTTTCAAGAAAAGGAGGCGCATTTGACAGAAATGTTCACGTCATGTTTCTCCGAGAAGAAGAGCTAACGGCCCTGCGTCTTCTCCGCCTCGCTGCTTTGAGGGAGCGAAGCGAAGAGAGGAGGCAACTAGGTATCTTGACGTCGCACGTCTCGTCGGCCTGGTTCAATCTCGACCTCTTTTTCCCAAAAATACGGCCGTCCATTCGAGATATCACCTTACGAGTAGTGTTGTAGGGATTGTAGCGTCCCGCCCACATCTCCTGCATTGTTTTTTCTGAAATCCAAATTTCGGTTCACCATCCCTTTAAGCACTCAGGAACACAACTTCCCCCAAAACCCTTACTCAGTGTGCAGCGATGCATACAATGCCTGTCGTCTGCTCTACATTTTAGCGAGCTTCTGTTGCACATTGCCATCAGCAGCCCTTTTTGGGAAATCTTTACCGAAACTTAAAGCTGTCATGAAAGTTACTCAAGAGGTGAATAAAAGTCACTAAACCGTTTTGAACGATACAGTGGGGTATCAGTGGCCGAGCGTGTTAGCTTGCCAAAGCTTCGAGCACGGAGAGTGGAAGTCAATGCTGCGAAACCCAGGGTTCCTGGGTTCAATCGCCACATACCCTGCCTGTTTTGATCTGGATAAACATTGTACTAGTGTGCGATTGTGCATCACCACTGCATGACATGTTAAAAGACCCCTGGGGCCCTAAACTCGTCAAGCACAAAGTTGGAGCCCAAAGTTTGCGGAGCGCGCCGATTGGACGTCAAATCGGTGCGCTTCGTGAACTTCGGCCCCAACTTTTTGTTTGACAAGTTTAGAGCCCCAGGGTTGCAGTCATACTGAAACCAACTAAATACTACGGCAGATCAGTCTCACGCTGCCTAAACATCTGCCATCCAACTTGCTTTGCCTTAACAAGACGTTGTACTTTCTTTAAAGATCACGGACGATTTGTGAAACTACTTGGTACGAGGGTTAGAACCTTTAATGGGCAGCATACACTGCTCGTTTGCTTTTACTTGGACTTGCTAGGTGTTCTGTGCGAGAAGTAGCGGAAGCGTTAAATTCCGACTTTTGGCTCACGTAACACCATGGCCTGCAACTTTGGCGTCGCGTCGCCCACGCTCGTGGCATTCACCGCTTTAGTTGTAGTTTGTTGCTGTGCACATCTAGTAACAAGTGTGGTACACAAAAAAAATCGTAATTCTTTCGCTCACGCCAGGTGTGTTACCTGGTATTACTTGACGGGGTTAAATTTGCGTCCCATATGCGCACTCAGTGAATAGCATTTTTTTTGGGGGGTATGATAGGCCCATATCTGGCATGCACTAAAAGTGTCCATAAACCATCCCTCTTCGAGGGACCTCTAAACTCTTTGGGGATGAGTGGCTCTGCGTCACGCTACAAAGAACCCACGTGGCTGGGATTTGGGCACCAACGTGCAGTCACTCTGCCAGATACTGAGATTCGCCCGGCTGTGACATACTCACGAGGTCTCATCACGAACTTGGTCTTGGGGTGGTTGCCCCACCAACCCCTCAGAGCAGGGAGTTGAGGGTTGGTCTCGCGGAATGCGTTGCTCACAAACGCAACGCCCATGGACCCCGGACCAGAGTTCATGTACTGCAAGAAAAAACACCGCGAGGGCGGCATCAAAGGTGTGGAAGCGTGGCCTTTGGTCATTCTGCGAAGACTCATTCGCTCCTTCACCATTCCGTTGAAGGTGAATTGTTCAGAGTTTGCCAGGCATTAAAGGGACACTGACACCCCTCAAAAATGTTTTATTTTTTTGCCAGGCAATCAAATTTGGAAAACGCAACTGCTCGAAACAGAAACCGAAACTGGACTGGGGAGGAAGTAGAAATATAGAGGAGGAGAAAGTTACCGGAAGTCACTTGACTGTGCAACTTTGTTTTTTCAATCAATGTATTTGCAGTTTTTTTAGAAGCCACAAAAAATGGGTATCATATTTTTTTCGATTACCCACGACTTTGATTATCTTTGGTGGTTGTCACTAAACCATAGAAAACGGCACGTGACCGCGAAGAAGGGAGTGAGCGCGACTCAAACCTGCCAGATCTTGATCGGCAACTTTTGGGCGGAAAGAAAACAAATTTCGAGCCGCAAATTGTGTGCTGGGTAGTTGAGCGCTCAAATGTCATGAACAAATGAAAACCTTCGCAAGCATAAATACCCTGTCAATGTCCCTTTAAGGATGTACTGGCACGTAAACACAGATTTAACCTTTTCAATTGACAAAGCAAACTGTTGTCACTTTAATAAGTCAACTATATAAACCTTTTTTTTTTTCCGGTCTTGGCTTATTAGTGTTTTCGAGGCAATTCACATTGCTAAAGCGTGGAACAGGAATAGACCATTCCGGAAACATGCAGTGCCTCCCGTCTTTTCGACGCAGTACGGCAATTCAATGTACGGTGCGTGAGGGAGCACCCATGAATAGAAGGAGCAGTTCACTTTGCTTTAGAATTTTGCGATTTCAGAACGCAAAGAAAGCAGGGCGATAACAAAACAGGGTACATATCAACTTAATAATGTAATTGCTTTGCTTTTTTGTTTGTTTTGCAGTGGTAACAATGAAGGAAATACGCTGCTTCCTGGATGCACAGAGCATACAAGCCGGGAGCGTGCATTGGAACGGCCCCACAATTTCCCGCGCCGCCCGGTGCAAGTGGTTTCGGTAAGAGGCCTTGTGGTAATTTCCAGAAAGGTCTGTTCGCTACTTTATTATTTGCTACACTGCATTTACAAGATTTTCGCTTTTATGTTCTTTGACGTTGAAATCAGCTCCATTTTTGAACCGTTGTAGTGTAGGGCGGTTTCGCTCCACACACGTAATTTTGTTGGCTGCGGTGAAACTCTGATAAATGAAGGGTGCCCAGGAAAGTTATTATTCAAACTGGGTTGTTTATTGACAGATCAAGCTCACGTTGCGAGCATTCCGTCATGGACATTGTCCGATTACCTCCACTTCTGAGTTTTTAATTTTGTTCTATGTGCCTCTTGCTCATTGGACCTTGCACTGACAATCTGCGTGATTCTACAAGGATGCTTCTGGTGATCTCGGTTCTGCCGTCGTACTGCTTGACTTCTCGGTTATCATCATCATCATTTCCAGTCGACAGCAGCACTTTAATTTCGGGCAGCAGATTGTGGCCATATATACACTTCGCTGTAGCAGATCGCTACATCATTAAGATGGACCTAAAGCAATACTCGAAGACGACTGTAGAAGTAAGGTAAGAATCATCGACCTAAGGACAGGTTTTCTCTCCTGTTGCTTTCCTGAACCTTTGATAAACAATGCCTGGGAGTTTTTCTTTCTGCGACACGTTCAGAGGTCTACCAACACAATGTGCATGAAGAGATTAGCGAATGACAAAGCACAGGTCACGTTTGGACCCAACAATGCAAACTGCACTTTATTTCTGTACACGCAGTCATCGTGCTCAGTCAGCCAGCACAAATTACTACGGTTTTGAATATTCGTGATTTTGGCTCCGGCTTTCGCTGGTCATTTTTCACAAATTGCAGTGATTAGCTCTTTTCAAGCTGTGTGACAAGGAAGGCACCCAGTGCTTGCTCACAGATTGCCTTGCCTTTGAGTGAACTACTGTGTCTGCTTTCCATACAGACACAGCAAACAGGACAGTTCTAGGGAAAGCATTACAAAATTTGTAGTGTCCTTGCCTTTGTTCTTTTCTGGTGTTACATTATTTCTCATCACTACAGTAGTTTACCTGTTCACCAGTACCTTATTTGAAACCATATGCTGTCTAATCATGGCTACTTGCCTCTGCTGGAAGATCAAGGAGAACTCTATTTGGAGATGCCATGAATGCCAGGCACAAAATAAGTTGTTTGTAACCATTTTTGTGAGTCCTTTGTCATCACTTCCTAGCATTGCTGAAGTTTTTCTGATAGTTGGGGTTTAGCGGCCAGTAAAAGTTTTTTTTCTGTGCTTGAGACAGTGGTGTACCTATAGCCTCATATCATTTGTGAACTGCATGAAGCTGTTGTATTTCTAATAGGGCACGAGTTTTTGTATCACAGTTACTTGTCATGAACATGAAATTACCAGTTCAGGGACAGGAAACCATCAGCAGGGAAACTCTCTGAACAATTAGATCACAACAAGCCAGGCACATCTAGTGATCTAGGGCATCTGAATTCTGTTTGTATGTAGCATACTTTTACGAGCCAACCAAAATGAAGTAACGGATGGTTGACAACTCACACAGAAGTGGAAAGTGAGGAAATTGCTGCTGAAGCATTCAGGTGTTGGCAGCTCTTAAAGGGACTTCTGAGATAATGAAGGTTGTCAATCAAGTCTAGCATCTAAACTTAGTATATACATATTGATGCCATCCAATATTGTCAGTCTTGTCAAAGATGCACCACCTTTCAAAAGTGTCAAGTAATGAAGATTAGATCTAAATGGTGGATTCCTTGAGAAAGTTCTGCCTAGTTTTTACTGACAACCTCAGTTAAATGTTTGGAGGGAAAGGTTTGTTTTTCTTTTTAATGCGAAAGCATTAACTGGTCTTATGGAGCAAAAGAGCTAAACGGCTCATTTACATCGCTTCAATCCCATTGGCTAGCGTGCATCCACAGCCAACGGCACCTTTTACTTCGCTGCGATCCCATTGGCTAGCCTGCGACGACCAGGCACCCATTTGCCGGACACGCAGCACCCCCCCGCCACCTCATGGCGCTGCGTGTCCGTCAGCGCCAGTCAGTGCGCCAACTGCGTAAGTCGATAGCCTGTCTTGTCTCTGTCTTCCATCCCCCTCTTTCCGTATCGTAAATTAGAAACCAACACGCTCAACTATCTACAGCAAGATTGATTTACATGCTTTCGCATTCACAACTCATAAGAAATGCTGAGGTGTACCTCAATCTTTTTTTTTTTTTTTTTTTTATGCCCCCCAAGAAAGAAATATGGATAGCGCTGTAAAACTGTTCCACTGGAAATATGCAAGGATGCAAACGGACTGCAACTTTGCCAGTTTGTTAAACCGAATGCACACCATTGCTTTATGCAAGAGTGCTGTCCTCTCAAATCCCCTTCTTTTTCCAGAGGTATTACATCTACCTTGCTTTCTCAGCCCTTCAATTTTATCAACTTGTTTTATGTCACTTCATGTTCGGTAAGTGCCTAAAGAAAGGCCGTTACACATACCGAAGCTTGCATTTGTGTGTGGTGTGTGATGGAAGCCAGGCACAAAAGTTATGTAAAAGCATATTGGTTTCTGTTGGCACCCTTCATCATTGCAATTGATGTGAAACTCAAAATTTGCGTACACAGCATTGTCCACAACCCCTTGAAAGTTATCCTCGGAGCTCGCAGCGCAATTTGTTGCGATCTATGTTTCACAAACATCTGACAGCAGGAGTGCTGGCTGTCCCACAGGAGAAAGGAATATTGAAAGTGCAATGTTGAGAAGCAGCATGCTGGCTGAGGTCCCATACTGTGTATTATGTGGTTAAAGTAATAAACAACTGCCTTTTCTAGTTGCATTTCCTCGATTGTGGAGCAATGTTGAGTAAACCTACCTTATAGGTGCACCAGACAGCCAGGTCGACGCCCCATTCGTTGAGCTTGAGTTCCACATTGCAGACAGCGTGAGCCATGTCCCACAGAACCAGGCAGCCCTTGGAAGAGAAAAGAGGAATGTGTTTGTGCAGAGTGTGGCTACATTTAACATTGAGCCTATACTTGTATACCCATTGAGATTGGATTTCACAGGCATCATTTTACAGCGAAGCTGTTATGTGCAAGGATCTGTAAAAAAATGTGTCCATGGATGTTAACAAAGAACTCCCGCTCAAACGGCGCTCCTTTGTTCTGATTGATCGTGGCAAGTATAAAAAAGAAAAAAAAGGGGCAACTTGTTTGAATCAGCCTTCCTTGGCATTATTAGATAGTGAGGTCCTGATCCCTTGTTATCATCTACGGTCACCGACTTATCTCGGCTCAGAGTGCGCTGCGACGAGGCTGAGCGCAGAACGCGCCGATCTAACCTTCTTCTTTTTTGCTTCCGCAATGCTGATAAAAAGACTTGGGCTCAATCGGAAAAAACTGTCCTCGAGGTATGCCTCGAAAAATTGAGTTTAGAACTTGCCCATAAGTGACCATAAGGCAATGATCACTTTAGTCACTAAGAATTCAATAAAGACAATTAAACAACAAAGTCGTGTATGTGTCTTCATTGCAATCATACGTAAATCGTATAGTTGTCGTAAAGTTAACAACTTCGCTGGTCCTCCAGCTTCATATGAAGTGGATGAGCTCTACAATTTTTTGGGTTCGGTTTGTGCACTTGAGAAGACATACCATCAGCTAAGCTTTTTTGTCTTCAAATTTTCAAATTGTGCGGCCCGGACGAGGCAACCGATTTCTCAGAGTTTGTTTTATTTAAGCGAAAATGGGTCTCCCTGGCAGCACGGTTCTTTGCCGCTTGCATTCTCAGTTGCACAAAATTGTGTCGAGCATGTCGTACCTTGCTTCGTGCGGCGTCAGTGAGTCGCTTGACATTGAACCGCTGCCCCGTGTAGTACTGGATGCCAGGAAGGAGCAGGACGGCAATCGTGTCTCCCTCGTTCTCGATCAGTTCCAGGATGTCCTCTTCTCTCAGGAGGTGCTCGCCCTTTGGTGGAAACACCTTATGGGTCAGACTCCAATGTCCTCGTCGTCCCAAAACAGCTCGTTTTTTGTCTGCGCGTGTGGTTTGTATCCCAGGACAGCCATGGGAAGAGCAAGACCTTTGGCATGTACGCAACAACTATCAAACTTTGTGCTCGTGGCTCTGCACCGTTTTGCTCTTCCGCTGCATTAGAGGCCCACCTGGAAACTCTCCAGCAGGGCTGAAAATCCTTTCCCCCTCTCTCTTCTAATGTTCATATATGAGGGGAGGAAAGGGCCCCTTTTTGTACAGAGTTCGTGCTCAAAAGGTACATTCTGGGGAACTCGATGGAGAGTCATTGGATTAGTTTTACTTGTAACCAGCTATTGAAGAAGGGAGATTCTTTTCTTTTCTCCTTTCCAACTATGAGTTAGCCTTTCAGACAAAAAGGGGTATGGTGTCCATCTAAAGGAAAAATCCACATTTTCACTTGTACCTTCAGACTTCATAAGCTCAGTATTGTACTGTATTCTTTATTTAGGACAAAAACATCTGGGGGGATAGAGAAAAAGAAGACGAGATTCTCTTCTTACGAGGCCCTAGCACCTGTAGTAGAACTTTTAAAAGCACTAGTAGAACTTTAAAAGCAGTTTAAAAACTTTAAATGTCGTAACCGTATTCCTAAAAACTTTTCTGACCCATTTGTTCCAAGATTAAAATCAATCCAATTGTCTCTGCTTTTGTTAAGCTCATGCAACAGGTCAGTGCACTAATGAAGGATATCAATCATTCTTGAAGACGGACGCAGGATAGCTTTTTGCAGCTTAAAAGCACTATTGAATGTTGTGTCTGTAAATATATCACTGTCCTAGGCAATTTAAAGGTGCACTAAGGACATTGCTGGGATTGTCTGTTTTTGGTGATAACTTATCTTACGGGCTCTAAGCATCTTAGAAATCCAAAAATTATGCTTGTGCGACGTCTATTTCCCTACTAAAAATGTGTTCGAATTTCGTGCCACGCCTCTTTCTGAGCGGAAAACTCTGGAGCACAGAATTCAGTGGAGGCGCCGGCTGCGTGACGGCGGGCGCGCATCAACCAATCGCAAGCCGCCTCTCGGAGAGGCGGCTTGTGATTGGCTGACGCTCATTTGTCACGCTGCCGACGTCTCCGCCGAATTTTGTGCTCCAGATTTTTCCGCTCAAGAAGGGGCGTGGCATGAACTTCAATCACATTTTTAGTAAGGAAATAGACATCACACGAGCATAATTTTTCTATTTCTGGGATGCCAAGATACCGTAGAATGAGCTATCACCAAGAAGAGACGATCTCAGAAACATCTTTAGCGTACCTTTAAGTAAGCTTGTTCAAGAGACAGCGTTGCAGGGGACAGTCGTACCTTGCGGGGTTTCAGTAGGATGAGGTTTGATTCCACGTCCAAGCCATGAAAGCTGACCTGTGACTGGGCTGCATACTAGAATGTTAAGAACAGCATGGTTGTGAGGAACTGGCTTGTTCTCATTTGTTAGTGCATCGATTGTTTTTATCAAAAGAAGTGTGTTTACCCACCATATCGGACGGAAATGCATCCGACTCTATGACCATCTTGCACCGCTTGCCAGCAGGCTTGTAGTATGTCAGCTGCAACAGGGCACAGAGAAACAGCCTACATAGTATTTGTTTGCAGTAACGGTTCAGAAAGTAACAATGTAAGAAAACCCAATGCTGGTACAAAGTCAGTGAGCGCATAAAATTTGAACACGGCTCGTAGAGGAAAGGAAGAAGGCTTTTAGCAACAACATGTTTAGATGCCGGTGCATCACTGACTTTGTTCTTATGTAGCAGACGATATGGTGCGTCGCTTCAGGCTGCTGTCAAACAGAAAGAGGTACTTGATATGGGGAAGGAGTGACTCACCAACAACAAGTGTAAGTTCACGGTCAGTCCATTCATGAAAACGATCTCCTCGGGCTGAGCTCCTGGATAGAGAGAGGATTGCCACTTCTTCGTCCCGCTAGCAGATGGTTATGATTCAATAGGCACAAGGTGGGCAGACTTTGCTTACCCACTACGTCGGCCATCATCTGTTTGGGTGCCAGCTCGCTGGAGGCTCCTGGTAAGTATCCGTGGAAGTGAGATTCTGCACCTCTGCGAGAGGGGCAGTGGTAGTTGCTGTCAATTTCTATCTATTTCTAATGGTGGAAGAATTGAGAATGCATTAATATTCTGTGGTCGGTTATCTACCTAACAGTAGGATGTGGCACTTGCGCTGAAGTGGTTGGTGCGCCATTTGCACCAAGGGGCTTACCCTGCTACATTTCACCGAAATGCATTTCCGCCGACATTGCGACAAAAGCTAATTCGCCGAAATGTGAGGCATTTTTGCCAACATAATGGCAAAAGCTAGATCACCGAAATGTGAGGCATTTCTGTCGACGTAGTGCCAAAAGTTAATTCGCCGAAATGGGAAACATTTCCGCCAACCCTGTGCCAAAATCTAATTCGCCGACCATGGAGAATAGAAGGGTAGGAGAGGGCATGACGTCAGCCGCGTAGCCTCCACAAGCCATGCTCCCTTGACGCCTCGCCTCTTTCGCATTTTCCTCCTTACTCTCACCACATCACGTGACCGTAGCTAGCCTTCGTCTAGCTATGGGGTACTAGAACACACCACAGTTTAGCCTTCGATCTGATAAAACCTACCGGACGGAGCGCGCGCAAGCCTGCAAGGAATTCTCCTACAATCAACCATCCATCTCGCACGTGACATGTCACGCGCACCAATCGCCAGACAGATCTGCGGTCACGCTGGGCACAAAATCGTTTAAACTTTTTATGACTAGGCTTCACCAATATTACAACGTGCCCCCTCCTAGTACTTCTAACCTCCTTGTCGCCGACATATGGGGCATTTCCGCCGACATTGAGCCAAAAAATCAATTGGCCGAAATGCAACATTTCCGTCAACATCGGGCCAAAAACTAATTTGACTATCCTAAAAGACACTGGCGCATCGTTATGGTTGGCTTGTGCGAATTTTAGGAAGTTTAGATTATCGTCGAGACTAACGTGCTACTATTGGATTGGATTTTTTTTTATCGAACACTGCCAGTACTCGGAGGTCCAGCAATATTTGCCAAGTGTTTTCAGGCGGGCTAGAGATAGCTCCGTTGAGTGCGCTTCGCACTGTGCGCCGGTGCACTGAGGGGAAACGACACTCGTGGAGAGGACATTGCGATTCTGCGTACCTCGCTTGGCCGCACCGCCGCTAGTTAGAGGGAAAAGCACTCTTCCAGGACACATTGGCATACTCGCACGTGTCGGATAAAAAAAGCTCAGTGTTGATATGACAAGTCTCTCTTGCAGTGGGAGTTTCAATATAAAACAGCGGCTGATATAGACCCTTTTCGCAAGGGCGCCGTCACCCTGAATTGTCGTCACTTCCAGTATGGACGAAAACATTGTTTTGCCTTCGCCACGCCAATAGAAGGCATTTAGGATATATAAGCGTAACCGTCACACTTTCTCGTTTTGCCTCCCTTCTATTTTTTTTTTTTATTTTTTTTTATTTTACTGTTTACAGGTTGAAACGTTTTATTATTTTTTTAGTCGTCCATACCATATACGCCTATTAGGTGGCTAGGGACGAGAGTACACGGGAGCTGCGTGCATCACGAGCCCCGATATTTGTCCTTATTTTTTTAAGGTATGGTAGAAAGCACACTTATGCGGTTTGTGCAGGTGAGTAAAGGCCTGTTCACACATGTAGCGGAGCGCTACAAGCGTAGCGCTGACCTCGCGCTAAGCGCGTGCTGACGGGAGCGTTCACCAGCTTTGTGTCGCACCATCAATACTGTTGTTCATGGCAGACAATAAGTAGCAGACGACACGTGAGAAGCGCTACATTAGCGCTTCGCTGCATGTGTGAACCGGCCTTTATACGGCCAGGGGGACATTGTGTAGGCGGCTAATTAATTAAAATTCGTTAATTAACTTTAATTAATGAAAATAGACATATGGTTCCAATTAGAAACTCGCTCAGTGTCATCGAAAACCACTAAATCAATTCTTTTTAGAAAGATATAACGCAGGGGAAGCATTTTACTGTGTTCTGTAGAAAGGCTTTATTTGTACGCGTTTCTAGGTTTCGGTTTCTTATCGTAGCATATCTCTGAGCCCTCGGTCTTGCTCCCCAGTGGCTGAGAAGCGCAACGTACGTACGCCCTACTTCCCCCGATCCTACGAGGGAGCCGAGGGGGTGGCTTCGCGCTGCGACCACCAGGGTGCAGGACCGCGGCCGCAAACATGCGCTTCGATAAGAAACCGAAACCTAAAACGCGTCCAAACTGGGCGCTTTTTCAGAACGCCGTACAATTCTGCCCTTGTCTTATGCCTTCATAAAAAGAGTTGATTTGGTTTTCGATGACGCTTAGCAAGTTTCTAATTGGAATTATATGTCTATTTTCATTATTTAAAAAGTTAATGAACAAATTTTAATTAATTATCCGACTGATCGTTATGATTAGCCCCCTATAGTATGTCCCCTGACCGTATAACTCGCCTGCATAAACACAAACCGCAAGGCTTTTTTTTTTAAACAAACCTGTTAAAAAAACACACACGCACACGGTATATATATATATATATATATATAGCCTCGACTAGGTCTGGCTGGGCCGCACTATTAATTACATTTTCATATCATCCCTTGTTTAGTTACAACCTCAATATAGATTTGTAGAAATAACTGTATATGGTCCTCCATTGGTGAGAACACAGTAATGTAATAACGACATAATGAAAAACCCGAGACTGGATATAAAAGCTGTGTTTTGAGACCCTGCGTGTGCTCGTCCGTCTTTCTTGTTCCCTGTCGCGTTTTCCTTTTTATTTATTATAAAGTAATTTACCAGCTTGCCTGCGTTTTTTTTTTTTTTTTGCTTTTATTTTTATTATTAATGTTAATAAATTGCCTGAAATAGTTTGTTTGTTGTCACGGCCGTAATGGAGAACCTCGTGCTCATAGGCGTGTCATCGGGATGAACATGGCGGCACAAGTACTAGCGTATCAAATTCTAAATTGCTATGACATTTATACACTCGTCACATCTAGCGATTCATTGTGCAAAAACAAGGATATTTTAACCGAAACTTTCATAAAATATAATAAGAAATAAAAATAGTGATTTTTTGTATAAGTGTTCCGATGTTACGATTTCGTGTTTTGCAAATACTGGTTTCATTACATGAATATTGCACTTCTTTTGAGTGTTTTTCTGTAAACATTGGTTCTGCTAACGAAGTTATGTTCTATCGCGACATCGAGGCCTCATCAGAAAATCTGGTCGTTTGCTTTTATGCTGCACACAATAAATAATGTCTAAACAAAGCTTCTTTCTTTTTTCACATTTTACTTTGTTTTTGTATTTTAGTATAATGCGGTAAAGCTAGCCCAACACGCGGCCGGGGGATGACGAAGCGCAAGGCGTTTCGGACGCCCAGCCTTCAGCACGCGATCGTTGCCTTCTACCGTGCTTCGGCTGGGCGTCGTGCACGCTCGAAAGCTCGCGAGACGCCGATACTTCCCTGCCGTTATCATGATCAAACGCGAAAAGTGGAATAGTCCGTGCGTAAATACGAGGGAAACTACGGACGGGAGAGGGAACCGAAAGAAGTTGGGGAAACGAGGTTTTGACCGCTGCGGCGAAATTTGAATAAGTTAATTGCAGAGGCTTAACGAAGAATGTGTTTCCTAAATGTTCAGTTATGTTTTGGCGTTTGTGCCTCGAGTGTGCGCATGCAGTCGGAGAAAAACCGGGACTTCGAGATAGCTCTTCTCGCGCAGCGGTGAAAGCTGGAACTACGGTGGGTGTCCGGAAGGGGTGTTGTGCTACCTTTCCTGTCTCTGCGACTCGGAATGAATCTCGGAGGAATCGGGAGAGGTGGCGCAACTGTCCTTTCGGACGCCAATCGCACTTCGAGCTTTCGCCGCTTGGTGTCGTCTTTATATGAGAAAATGGTAGAGAGCCTAGGTTTAAGAGAGGGGGCAACTCAAACAATGAAGAACGTTAGCAATTTAATGGCGGACGCCCCTTGCGCAAATTGGTCGCAAGTGCGCATGCGTTGCGTATTTGTGTGGCGAGGAGGAGAGCGTGTCGACAGGCGGAGACACTTGCAAACGATCAAACGCTCTCGTCCTTTTCCAGAATTACCCGAGCATCAAGGAGAATGCTTGGTGTTCCACGCGCCGCACGTGCTGGCCTCGTCAGTAGTAACTTTTCTAAAGCAAATGCCTAAAACAAATTGCGTCTTGCGCGCGCGTTCGTCAACGTTTTATTTTGGTTATTTGCTTCGAATCTTTTATACGGGAAAGGCGGGCGCGTGGGGCGCGTTGAACACCAATCCCTGCATTTTTCTTGATGCCTGGGTAATTGAGCAATTAGCGGCGAGATGTTTTGGTGGCGCCCTCCTATGGTTCCCCCTTGTGACGTCATTACCTTGTGAACAACAAGTTCGATGGTGTTTGTAAATAGCATGGTGGAAGCCTGAAATCATTGCGCTCTCAAAGAAACACTGCCAACACCGTCGAAATTAAAGTTCTTTCATTCCTCTTATTTCCGTCGATGGTATACCCTTTCCGACGTCATAGTCAGCTCTTGGGCCAATCGTGGAAGGTCGACCACAGCGACGCTTTCGGTCGCGCACGTCGCCAAGAGGTCTATTGAAAACGCGGCATTTAAATTACGTGACCCCCGATCGAATAGTTGGGAACACTCTCAAATCTAGCCACACCAGGTTACAGCGCTGCCCTCTCAATATTTTGCTTATAAATGCGGCTAGACTTCGAGGCTGCAAGGTCGTGACGTGAGCCAAATTTTCCTTAAAACTGTTTTTCAGTGGATTTTTTTTCTTCTTTTGAACGTGTAAAATTTTAACGCGTAGGATTCCTTCTGCGAAAAATAAGAAACACCATCCTTGAAATGTTGAACGACGAGGGCGCAGACTACAAAGTCGGGCCAACAGTTATCTTTAATGCTCCTAGCGAGACACTGCGCAACGTGTCATTAAAACCAGTAAAGAAGGAAAACAGGTCGTCAAAAGTGAGCGATGAGTCTGTCGTTGCGCAATCGCTTTTTTCCTTTAATTGATTTAGCTGTAACGTTAACCGCACTATACGCTTTTTTTTTTTTCTTCTTTTCGTAGTTTGATGGAGTGCGGCTGTACCGTTCTCGAGAGGAGCACCAAACCTATGTCGGTCGTCTGGCTACCGCCCATGGGGTCTGTGCAGGCATCCGCGTCTTTCAATTTTCGCAAGGACCCGGAAATCCACCACGAAAATGCACATGCGATGAAAATTTTCTCTCTATCGTACGGTCGCCCATTTCCTCCGGCAGCCTCGGGAACGATGCCAATGAGCGCGTGCACAGACGATTCGCGCAAAACAAATTCCTGCGCATGCGCAGTGCCCACCAGCTCCTATCAAGAGCAATCCACTGTTACGCACACTGCGTGACACTGTTAGCGCGAACGCAGGTTTTTTCGCATTTAACTTCGAAAGGGCGGGTATCAAAATTTGCCACTTATAGCGTCCAAGGCGCACCATCGCGGTGTTCGTCACGTTTCCGTACGTGGTCTGTCATCGCATGAACCAATCATAAGCAGAAAAGGCCGAGTGACTCGCGCTTTTAACGTTGCTCTATCGATCCCACTACCTCGTGGCGTCGGCTGAGTCTAACCGAAAACTTTCCACCACGAGTATATACTTTTTATCGCAGTTGTTCTTTACTGAGAAAAAAAAAAAAAAATAACCGGCGATGGCTTGTTCGCACTAACAGTGTCGAGGAGGGGATACGTCTCGCAATGACCCCTTAAATCGCAATGGCGGAAAAAAAATATTTTTTTGCCACCAGTGAACATTTGTAACGTACAATGCTTGCACAAGATGAACGCCTGGGGCGGAGGCGTTTCATTTATGATACCTGAGAAGAAGGCAAGTTTTGACGGCGGTCTTACAGTGTGGCCCAGTTGTTGAGGATCTTGTTCACGTGAAGCTCGGTCGCCTTGGGCATAAGTCCCAGAGAATGTCCGACGAGGTAGACGCAGCTCTGATCCGGATCCTTGATGAACGACGGGTCGACTGCCGAAAGAAGCAAGCGTGGGCGCTTTTTGGCGTGTTTTTAACGCACACTGGACCGTTGCTTTGGGCAAACAACAAACTGTGGCGTGTGTGCGTGTTTGTCTGTGTTTGCGCGTGATTGCGCTTCCTTGAATCGCTTTTCAAGGCGACGAACACACGCCTGCTGGTCTGTCAAGACCTAACCTCACATTTGGCTGCGATTTCGTAAACATTGGAGCGGGTGGCACCACTTTCAACTCTTTGTCACAGAGAACACGGGGAGCATGAACACGGGGCGCGCGCCCTGCTATGAGGCTGAGCCAATGAGCTTCGCTGTTCCACCGGGCCAAGATGAAATGATGGGAGATCTCGGTTACCACAACAACCTAAGAATTTTATATAGGGTGTCTTTTCTTTGTCTTTCTTCGAGGCTTTGCAGATTTGTTTTTTAGAAAAGCCGTGAAAGCTACTCTAGTGCGGTCTGGGCACTGGCTGTATAACTAACCGTCACAATTAGTCGGTTAACTAACAAAAATGTATGAACTACCTTCTTAATTATTGAAGATAAAGATATATGGCTCCGATCCGAAACTTGCAGAGCGTCATCAAAAACCACTAAATAAGTAAATTTTATAAAGATTTGGGGCCCGTGGGAAGCGCTGGGACCTCGCGCGCGACCGGCGCAAGGCTTGTAATGCAACAACGCACCCGCATGTTTTAGAGCGCAGCTCTTAGGGGCCCGTTTCCGGCTTGAGCGGCGTCGGCGTCGCCGTCGACGTCGGCGTAACCGCGAGGTCACGTGACCCCCCGAGGTCACGTGACCCAGCCGAGCACGTGACCCCTGAGGTCACATGACCCCCAGGTCACGTGACCCCCAGGTCACGTGACCCCCGAGGTCACGTGACCCGCAAAGGTCACGTGAGCCCCTGAGGTCACGTGACCCCCTGAAGTCACGTGACCCCCTTGAGGTCACGTGACCTCAAGGAGTCACCTATCCCTCAGTACGCTTCCATCTTCCTCCTCAAGAGCTGCGCTCTAACCGGCGTTACAGGGAATTGTACACGGCTTTCATTTCTTTTTCTTTTTTGTATTATTTGAGTTTTTGCATTGTCAGCATTGCACCGGTTGCACAAGAGGCAACTTTAGCGCCAATGTCGCGCGTTTCCCCTGCGCCTCAAACCTTTCCCAAATTTAGTAATTTACTGGTTTTCAATGACGCTCAACGAGTTTCTAATTGAAATCATAGGTTTATTTCAACACATTAAAAGTCAATTACCAAATTAATTACCCCCCGGGGGCCTAAAGTGCCTAGATAAGGGTTTCCCACAAGTAGCGACATTCTTTGAAGCGCCGACTGCGTGACGGTGCAGGTTTTAGGAAGCGAATAGCGGCACACCGCAGAGGTTTGAGCTGAATGTCGCCGTTTTGTTCCAGTGGAATGCGCCTTGTCATTCGTATTGGTTGTCGTTACTTGTAAAAGAAGTATCAAGGAACTTACCCGGGCCGGATATTTCACTTGCGCTGACCGCGCGCACTACTCTAACTTTCACGGATTTTCTTTTTCTTTTTAAAAAGTTTGTAAGTTTTAGAAAAAAAAAAAAAAAAGCACCCTGTATAAGGTTTTTTCAAACATTTTATATAACTGAGCACCTCTAAGGGGTGTCTGAAAAAGGTAAACCCAAAATTTTAGGAAAAAAAGAACGTGCGAGTAAAAAGAAAATAGTAAAGTCCAGAAACACAAAACTGCGGGGGTTGATTTGTTTTTTGAGATTGCGGATCCTGTTCAATGCTGTGTAGGAGTCGCTTGTTTGGTGCAGGGTGATGACTCGATCATGCAGTGAACAGGTGCATCTTATCCGGTGATTAAAGCAACGAGTTTTGCTGCATTCTATACTACACGTGTCCTGTCATTTTATGACTATTCATTTTTACAGTACAGCGTTTCACCCCCCCCCCCCCCCCCCCCCCGGTTCGTGACAGCTGTGATACACCACTCAGTGTGTGTTGCATCGGTCTCAGTGCTACGCCCTTTGCACCAAATTGAGCCACGAACAATCTGCGACTTCTTGTGTCCAAACTCATATTTTTTTGCTAAGAATCGCACCACACCCGCATTAAGACAAAGCAAAAAAGAAAAAAAAAAAAAAAGATTTTAATCTTGGTTTGTTTTAATATTTAGAGAAGTGGAGGGAAATAAAAAAAAATACTCCAAATATGTATTTCACAAAGTTTCTACTCACCGTGTAGTTCGTTTCATCTTAGCTCATCTTTCTACACAGTGAGTTTCTACTCACCGTGTAGTTCGTTTCATCTTAGCTCGTTTCACCAAAGTTGGGAGGTCGATGTCACGAAAACTTGGACACGGAAGTGACGTCACAGCGCCGCTTTCTGCCGAGAAGTGCGCATGCGCGTCCTTTTTTTTTTTTTCTGCTCATTTTAACGCGACACGTTCCTGTCTGATTGAAGCGGCGAGAGACGCCGCTCCGGCAGCCCCGATTCCAGAACCTTCAATCATCGCTCTGGACAGCGGCTGAGCGGCCGAGCTCGCTTGCTCTGCGCGGCACGGGAAGTTCACGCGACTCGGCGAAGCGTTAAAAACAATCGAGCGCAATCCCCCAGGCTGCGCGGAGGGCTGCACATTGGCCTACTCCGAGCCTCGTACCATTGCGCACGTTGAGCTTCACCGCATTACACCGGAGTGGTAAGAGCAGCGCTGACATGGGGAAGCGCTTGAGTTATCGCGATTGGCTCGGGAATTCGGCGCACTACTATTGCAGGTTGACCTAATTTGGTCTCGACTGCAAGTTTACCTCTAAACTAAAAAAAAAAAAAAAAAATAAAAAAAAAACTGTCAGAGAAAAGGGGAGAAAAACGCGGGTTTAGAGAAAAAATCGTAAGGGTGCAGGCGAGCTGGTGAATATTAACCATGTTGAATTAACCTGAGACTGGGTAGAGAAGAAACATCAAAACGTAGAAGGGACAGAAAATAGACAGGACGACGTCTCATTTAGAGACGTCGCCCTGTCTATTTTCTGTCATATCTACGTTTTCATGTTTCTTCTCTACCCCAGTCTCAGGTTAATTCAGCGAGTTTAGATTTGAATAAATAGAGTAGTTCCCGTAGAGCAATCAATGGAAAGGGCTGCGAACTTTGACTCAACTCTGGTTCCAACGCCGCTAAAGCGCATTGTCACTTTTAATGCACAAATGTAGGTTTTCATAAGATTTCTGCATCGTTGCTTTTGAAGTTTATGATATTAGAATGTTAAGTTCGGTAGGTTCATAAAACTTGGTGGGACGTATTTTTACTGATGGACGTTTGAGCGGATATGCAGGTTTTTGCATTTTACGAGAATTATATTTACAGGCTAAATAAACTACCGAGTGTAAAAGGAAGAGGGGAGAGAAGCTAAGAATCTCAACTGAAGTGCTGCGTGATTGCTTCATGTTCCGACCATTTTTCTGATATTGATTTTAAATGCAACCCTACTCTGATCTCAGCCTCATTTTTAAAAAGACTGCTGCGTGTTATTTCTGCGTCCTACGTATTCTTATTACAAAATATAATAAGTGACCTGCTCCAGTATCAGAAACCCTCAATCATTACTAACTACAGACTCATTTAGCCATGCAATTTCTTCCTTTCGTTCTTTTCTTTTTATTTCAAATGACCTGTAAACAGACTTTTTTGCATCTGCTCCAAAAGTGTCAGTGCCTGTTCCTAACCAATATTCTGTCTGCTACAAAACTTGCTACAAAAAGTGAAATGCCGCTTTAACACTGCAATATTTTGCTTTGTTTCTCTCGTTTTTTTTTTATGATTTTACCACCAAAACCTTAGCGGGTTTTGGTGGTAAACTTTGGGAGAACACTTATAAGACATTCTGTTCTGACTTGGGCTGTAGGGGAGAGGAAGGTTTCCGTTTTTTTTTTTTTTTTCGAGATGACGCGTGCCGAAAATTAAAGAGAAAAAAACGAGGTAAAAGCAGATGTGCATGTTCGCCCAGCAGTATACACTTTCCATAAAAGCGTTTGAGGGCGCGTTCATTGCTGTGAATGTGTGTTATGCACGCGCACTTTCTGCCTGGCCCACGGTGTGGCCTGGCCGCAATTGCGAGCCAGCGCTGGTTGGATTGTGATTCAGCACACGTGGACTGCGATTTTCGGAAAGAGTGGAAGCGTCTGTACCTGTATCCAGGTCGGCCATCTTGGGCATGCTGAAGCGATCTCGGTAACTCCTCAGCGGGTCAACGCTGTCCAGGCAGCGAGCGAAGTCTGCGCTGTTGACCGGCACGCCAAAGTGCGCAGCCATGTCGAGCAGTTCCTGCTTGGGTGAGCGCTTCGAGGCCATGTCTCTTTTTCGGTGGGTCAGCCTGGACGCCTCGGGAACTGCCGAAGCAAAGGACGTGGAAACCCTCTTTGACCACTCGCTCACATTTGACACCGGCACATTGCAGCGCGCTACGAGGGAAACAGCGTACTCCGTTTCGAGCGCAACAGATCCGATGCAGCCAGTGAATTCGGCGCCAAAAGTGTACCGTCACTGCACTCGTCACATTTTTGCGTTTTTACTATGATCACGTGACTAGTTACCAATCGCGCACAGCACCTCCTAAACAGCTTTCAGCTCCCGGACGTGGCATGACGTCACGTCCGGGAGGCCGGCACGGCTGCTGATTGGATGCGAGTGCCGCGGTCAGCGTTCGTGTGAGACTATGATAGGAAACGAGCCCCACGCGAACGCTGACGAGCCACTCGCATCCAATCAGCGCCCGTACCGGCCTCCCGGATGTGACGTCATGTCACGTGACGCGCAGGTTTGAAAGCTGTCTAGGAAACGGAGTATGCAGATATTATAGACCTTCACAAAAATCGCCTCCTGCGCGCTGCCATCTTTGTCTGCTGGGCTGTGGAACGCCTTCTGAGCATACGCTGTTGCTCAGCTGTGCGGTATATCAGACGCTGCGCATGCGACCACAGTTCAGTGACTCAGCATTTCTCGCCCTGATGATAAGCGAGGGAATGTGGTTCCACAGTCTTAATCAAGGCGATCTGTCTCATTCAACGTCGTTTCTGTAACGAAATGAAGGAGCTTTATCGCGGGGAGCGTGATCGGACGTCAGCTTACGGATTTTGAGTGCGGCGGCTGAGATGTACCGTGAATGAGACAAATGGGGGAAAGCAAACAAAGCATGTGTTTGCGGCGACGGCGCATATTTTCCAGTAAATCGTCTCTCGTCAAATCTTTTATCAAAGCTGCACGGGTTGCTTGCTTTTATTTTTCTTCTTTTTTTTTTTATTGTCTGCCGTCGGATTGCTCATTGTCCCGTGACGGGGTTGAATTACTTGAAAGCCCGTACGCCTAAGTGCAAAGTAAAAAAAAAGAAAAAGAAAAAGAAAGAACAGTCCCGCGTTAATAGTACAGTCACAGCGGTAGCTGCGACACGTCACGTCACGTCCAAGTCGTTGGGCATCGGTGTCGCAAGCACCCCGGGGGTGTACGGTGTTCTAGCGCGAAAACAAAAGCGTTCGGAACAAAATAGGCGTGAGACCATTTTGTTTCGTCTTTGTTCCGGAGCGCGTGAAAGCGCATCTCCCGGCACGAGCTCTTGGCATGCGTTATTGAGTGCTACAAAAACAATTTGTTATCGCTTTTTTGGGGGGGATGGGGGGGGGGGGGGGAGGGGGAGGGGAGGGGAGGGGATTGGTGGCCGAGTGGGCTAGCGCACACCAACTCGGAGCAAGTGGAGCTAAAGCTCGCGCTGCAGAACCAAAGATCCTGGGCTCAATCCCCACCCCTGCCCGTTTCGATCTGGATAAACATCGTAGCGGCGTGCGGTCGTGTATAGCGGTTGTAGTGCACTGGCTAAATTTCTCATCTACAGCTGGAAGACTCTTCGCACGTCGAGGCAGACAAAGTTCTAGGCTGTACAAACATACACACAACCCAATTTTTCAATTGTTTTTCTCCACAGCGCGTGCAGTGGACATTGGGTTACTACAAATACCCTAAGTATAAAGCGGGGTGTTAACCCTGTGTCGTAGCTCTCAATATCTAATTATTATTATGCAATTTGTTTTGTAAGCGATAACCTTTCCGAAGTGTAGGCCTGACCGTTTGTCCTGTCCCCTTTCCATGCACTAAATAAATAAGAAAAAATTTCATCGTTCCCACTCTGGTGAAGAAGGAAGACCAGCGAAGTTGCACTATGGTAGGAGTGAAGTAATGGCCGGCCGAAAGTCGGCAAGCCAAAGTGGAAAGGCTCGAAAGGTTACCGCCATCTATGAACGACAGCGGCAACTAGACAACCGGCAAGCCGGTTGTCTGGTCGCAGCCGTCGCTCATAGATGGCGGTAGCTGTTCTGTGTCATCAGGTTATTTGAGGACGATCACGATCCTGGGGAAACTAACCCTCAAAAACTCCGCTGTAAAAAAAAGAAAAAAAAAATGGCTTATACATCTCCGCTTTGCCCGTGGCGGAGGCCGATCTTTTTCGAGGATTTGACAAAATCGACGACAGAGTCCTTCAGCTACAACATCCATCCACATCAACAACGGACGTCGTTTACATTGGTGTAAAGAGCCCGCAACAGATAACGCTGTAAAATATTACGGAAAATAGCTAAGCAATTGTGTTGCGTACGTGAAACATTTTAGCCTCACAAACGTTTAGCGATACTCTGGTGGCGTTCTACAGATGGTTTAACGGTTCCTAGAATGAAGCGATACTGTAACGCTAATCGGGCCGATAAACCTAGTCACATCGGCTGTCATATAGTAGTGGTCTCGCTGCTGAGTGTGTGTGTACCTTCGGCAGCACGCATTTCGCACCGTCGAATTTATTATCCCGCGGGCAAGAACGTAGCAACGAATGTCCACCAGCATGGTACCATGACGTCACGGGCAAACTAATTTCCGACCCGGCAGCCACCTGGTGACTGGTAGAACTCCATTGCCGGCGCTCTCTCCCCGACGTGCATCTATATACTATCACGATCGATAAGAGTGTGTGAACACCGCTCCGTGTGCACGGCCCGCATAGACTAGCCCTGTATACAGTTGTTCAGCTCGCGTAGAGTTCCCCCCGCACGCGTAGAGTTCCTGTATATAGCTATGGTAGGATATCGAGCATATCGAGGAACTCTACGCACGCGGTACTATCAGTGGCCCCTGTCGAATGATCCGTAAAGCTTAGACCATTGCGCTTGTTGCGCTGCCCTTTACTTCCGGGTCGTCTGCATGTACCGACCGTGGCCATCGCAATTTGTAATAAGGCATCGATAATACCGCGGGCGAAAATTTTGGCCAACGGACGTGGCCAGCTTGACAGCCCGTGAACTACTCCATGGACTTACACGTCAGGCGAAAGCCGTGGCCACGCTCCAGTTCGCCATTTTCGAGCCCAACCGACGTTGGGGCGCTATACTTGTGTGCTTGGCTCTCGATCGGTTCGCTCCAACGTATGGCTGTTTTATTTTGAATCAGTATTTATGCTGTCTCGTTTTTTTTTTTTTTTCAGGAACTACAGTAAGTTAGTTCCAAATTACCTCGTCAATTATTCCTCCCTACGCGCGGCGACACCAGCCCGTTCATACTAAGGTCCCATGATACATTCTTTTTACGAGTAAAGACAACCAATACAAATGACGAAGCACATTCCGCTGGAACAAAATGGCGGCATTCAGTTGAGTCTTCTGCTGTGCTCCGCCATTCGCATCCTAAAACCTGCACCGTCACGCAGTCGGCGCTGTAAAGAATGTCGCTACTTGTAGGAAACCCTTATCCGGGAACTTTAGTTGATACTCATCGCGTAAGCTCGGTGCGTACTTTTTTTTATTATTTTTAGTTCTGTTTTGTTTTTGGAGCGAGGCGCGATTGGGGGAGGGGGGGGGGGGGGGACAACGTTTAATTTTTAGCTGACGAACTTTCGGTAGAATTTACGGGTTAGCAAGCGTAGACAGGTGGTCAAGGCTTTGCAGAATGCCATCGTCACATGAGACCCTCTGGAGTGCACCTGTGTTTTCTAGGAATATTGTACGTTGGAATGTAAAATGAGCTAAAGCCTTTGGTCCGAGATGTTAGAATTAGGGAACTTTAAAATAGTCAGAGTGCAGGCGAGCTGGTGTAAGTTGAACATGATTGTAAACCTGAGACTGGGGCAGAAAAGAGAACACAACAGAAGGTAGAAAAAGAGGAGGCAACGTCTCAATGAGACGAGACGTTGCCTCCTCTTTTTCTACCTTCTGTTGTGTTCTCTTTTCTGCCCCAGTCTCAGGTTTACAATCATGTAGGGAACTTTATTTTTATTTATTGGCTTTTGTTTTGATCATACGTCAATTTGTCGATTGAGATGGTTTGCTCTAGGCGATACTCTTTATGTGACATTATTGACCCGTGCATGCCGCGCGAGCCTCAACGTAGCTCTTTCCTCATTGAGCCAGCACCTTCGTTAAACGGACAACTTCGAGGAAGCCGGTTGGTTAGCGGCCCAGCGTTAGGCGGCTATCCGCGAATAGTAAGCTAGCTCGTTTTGAAATAATAGATTTACATTCAATTGATTGGTCCGTCTTTACACTGCCGAGACCCCAGTATCTATCATCGTATCAGTACATAAAAATCAACAAAAGGCAACAGTCAACAAACTCGCTTTTTCATACGTAAAATTACGCTTATTTGAAGTCACCAATTAAAGCTTCAATTTATTCGCTTCATGTTTTAGAAAGAAAGGCAGGGAAAATAAGCTGCTCAGCGTGCGGCATAAAACGCCCCTGTCTCGCTGCAATTTTTTGAAAATTTTAGTAGTACCTTGAAAGCCTTGGAACAGGTCATTATACAAGGAATAGGTCGCTCATACTGGTAAAACAATAAAAAAAAAAAAAACATAAAGGCTCATGAACAACAAAACATAAAAGCATTAACAAAACACGAATAACAAAAAAAAAAAAAAAAAAAGTTCAAGCACACTTACATTCAATGAATGAAAGGAAAACTCGAACCAAAAAATAATACGAAGCCCGACGTTTCAAGGCCAGTTCGACCCCTTGTTCACGGGTGACGCGGGTAAAGCGTTCCATTCAGTTATTGGAAAAGGTATGGAAGAGTTAGCATAAGAAGTGTGGATGCATATATATCGGGGGTTGTATTTTACAGCTGTTATCTAATCTCGGAGAAAATGAAGTGGGAGGAAGAAAGAGTTTATTTCTAATTGTTGGGCTATGGTGCTGAGTCTTGTTAATCAGTGTCAAACGAAATATTTTTCGCCTTAACGGAAGTTCAGGAAGATTCGCTCGTTTGCGTAATTCAGACCGCTTGTGTAAAAAAAATAATTGGAATAAATTCATTGTAACGCTCTTTGTTGGACACTTTCTAGGTCGTCTCTAAGATAATG